CGGGCCCCCGGCGGCGGGCGGCACGTCCTTGTGGCAGCGGCGGTGGCGGATGAGGCTGGACACGTGGTTGTAGGTGCGGCCGCAGACGCCGCACTCGTACGGCCGCTCCCCCGAGTGCACCAGCATGTGCTGGACCAGGTGCGAGGACTGCTTGAAGGACTTCTGGCACACGCCGCAGGGGAAGCGCCGCTCCATCAGGTACTTCAGCCTGCGGAAGTAGCCCTTGTCGTCCTTGCTGGGGTCGCAGGCCGCCCCCGCGGCAGGTCCGGGCGGGGTCTGGGAGGGGGCGGGAAGCGGCCCCGGGGTCCCAGTGGGGGACGCCAGCGCCGGCGTCACCCCCGGCCCGGATGCGGGCCCTCCGCGTTTCAGGTTCCCAAAAAGGTGCTGGTGTCCAGAGAGGTCGACGATGCCCCACTGCGGGGCGGGGAAGGCAGCATCAAATAGGGGGGGTGGAGGCGGGCGGCAGGGGCGGGTCGGGCTTCTTGGCCTGGGAGGAAGAGGATGAAGAGGACGACGACGAGGACGACGACGAGGACGACGACGAGGACGGCGCCTCCGCCTTGGGTTTGAAGGTGGACTGGGGCGGGTAGTCGTACTGGGGCGGAGGAGGCTGGGGTGGGGGCTGGGGCGGCGGCCCGGGGGCGCAGGGCAGCGCGGCCACCGCCTTGGCGTGCTCCCCATAGAGTTCCATGGGCTCAAAGCGCTGGTGGTTGAGGAACTCCAGAAAGTCGAAGGGGTAGCTCTGGAAGTGAACCCCGTCCTCGCCCCCTATGCCGCTGCCCCCACCACCCCCGGCCGCACTGCCTGCTGCGTTTGCCTCCATCTCGGGCGGGGTGGGCGACGGAGACCCTGCGGAGAAGAGGATGGGGCTGAGCAAACAGGACCAGGCGCCGGCTCGGGAGCTGTGCGCGTTGGAGGACGTGTCCAAGTGCCGGGGACACACTCCATCTTCCAGCCTTGCTCCTCTCCTGTCCTGTCCCTCCACCCCATAGGGCAGACTTCTTCTCTGCCGCCGGCCACCTTCTTTGCTCCTCCTCTCCCATCCCTTCCATTTTCCCCGTTGTTTCTGGGGTCTTCACACATCCTCTCTACCCATCCCCCAGACCCCTTCCCCAGTGCTGCCTGCAGACCCTCGGTTCCCCACCCCCAATCTCATTCTCCCAGCATCCTGGCCTCTGGTCACAGTCCCCTGGCAAACTCTTGGGCATCAGCACGGCGCCCTACCCTCCTCTCCAAAACACACACACACGAGCCCTGTCCTCAATCCCTTCAGGTTTTGCCTCTGTAAAATGATAATAAAAGAGGGTGGACTCTAGAGCCAGAATGCCAGATACTCTGAGCCCCACCACATTTTAGCTGTGTGACCCCAGGCAAGTGCCCGAACCTCTCTGTGCTTGGCTTTCCTCATCTACAAATAAGAGGTGACAAAGCACATCCCTACTTCGCAAGGCTGATGTGAGGATCCAATAAGCACATCACGTAAGGCCTTCGGGTGGATGCTTCGGGCACTTCCCAGGCACTGGTAAAGTGGAAGGTATTCTATGGATACCACTCTCGCTGGTAGCGATAAAAAGTCAGGACAAACGAAGACAATGGAAATGAAATCAGTGTTGGGGGGAGGTGTTCTTTTACTACAAGGTGGGAAACAGAATGTGTTTGCCTGGAAGAAACAAGTTACGGCAGAAGGACAGGCACTGAGAGGGAAGGCAGCCTGACACAGTAGAAAATATGTGTGCGCCCTGCACCCGGGCAGACCTGGGTTCAAGTCCCATCTCCTTCCCGATCCACACTTTCTCCATTTCTAAAAGGGGGCGGCCCCTAGGCTGCAGGGGACTCAAGGGAGCTCACCTAGGACGTAAGGAAACACTTACTGGCAGAGCTTTCAGTCCCCAGGACCATCTGTACCTTCAGGTCATCACACACCTGGGAGGAGCCCGACCAGCGAGCAGCTGCCCAGGGAGTGCAGTTCCTGTCCTCGGCCCTGCCATGGCAGTCATCCTCTGGGCACCCCTCCTTTATAGTACTTTTCATTCCAGATGGCAGCTGTCCATGTCTGGACCCCCTACTCCCACCTGAAGCTCAGCTCCTACAATTAATTTCTGAACCTGAGCCACCCAGGGGGCTGTGGAAATGCCCCCACCAAGTCGGTGCAGAGCCAGTAGAGAGAAGAGCCCCCGAGGTGTGGCATGCTTCTTGGCCATAATCCCTGGCCCCTGGGGGTCTGGCTCTATGCCCAGCCCACGGAAGGGGTCAGTGGTGACTACCAAGGCCAGGGCCCATCAGCCCCCATCCATCCAGCTGGCTCTCTCCCCCCCACAGGTGAAAGGTGTCCCCTCCACTCCCCTCGCCAAGAGGCCGATATTTTTAGTCTCTAGCTCTGGGTGTCCTTGGATGAGATTCAACATCCTATGCCCTTCACACCCCCTCTAGTTCATCTGATCTCCAGAAGGAACAAAGGCATGGCTGGAGTGGTAGTGGAAGCCTGTAGGTGACACCTAAATCTGGGAGACCAGGCTAGAGTGAGCCGGGTGGGCAGAAAGAAGCACATGGTAGAATTGAGGCGGTTGGGAGGCGAGTGTCTTAGGGAAGAAGCCACCGCCCTGGCTCACCTCTGTCAGAGTACATATTAATAACAACAATTTGCCTGGGCATTTCCTACAGGCCTGATGTTCCAAGCCCATTACATATGTTAACTCAATCCCCACAAATCTATGAGACTATGACATAGGAACTACCATTATCCCCATCTGACAAAACAAAAGCACAGAGAAGTCAAGTGACTTGGTCACAGAGCAAGCCTGTGGCTCAGCCCACCCCCTCCCCGCACAGGGTTGTTTTACCAGGTTGCTCTCTAAGGTGGACAAAGGTGGGGTGGAACTGTGGGGGCAGGAGCCTTATTTGGGGGTGTTCTCTAGGTTATGGGGGGTCATGCCAGGGGCTGGGTGGGAGAGGAAGGGGGTCACCATCTCGAACGGATGCAGCAGTGATGTGGTGAGAATGTTCTCCGACGTCAAGCCTCCGTCCTGTGCCTGCTTCGGGTCTCTGCTCAGATGTCATGCCCACCCTGTCCTCCCTAACCCCTCGTCTTGCTGCATTTTTCACCACTGTCACTTCCATGACTTGCTGCATGTATTTCCTTCACCATGTGTTTACCTAAGAGGATGGGGATTTGGCCTGTCTTGTTTGCCGCTGTGGCCCCCCCCAGCACCGAGCACAGCACCCAGTACAGTGTGGTTGCTTGGTTAAGGATTTGCTGATACGTGGGAATTAAACACACTCTTAAATCGCCAGTGGGTCCATGAAGAAATCTCAAGGAACCCCAGATGAATAAAAGTGAAATCACAACCTACCAAAACTTAGTGAAGATGCAGCTAAAGTAGGGCTCAGAGGTAAACTGATAGCCTACACTTATAAATATTTGTTGAATGAGCAAAGGGATGAGACTGAGCTATCCAGAACTCCCTGAGGGAGGGAGGGGGACATTTAGCAGAGGTGGAATTGACATGGGGGAGGGGGCCCCCAGAAAAGGGAATTTAAAGGGCAGTGATGTTATAAGGAGCGACTGACCCAAGGGCGAGTAGGAGAACGCTGAAGAGCTGCTGCCCTGAGGAGCAGGGAGTAGTCCTGGGGGGCAGAACTGATCAGGCTCACAGCCTTTCCACGAGGAAACAGGAGGCCTTTCCTCTTTCCAAGCCTTAAATTAGTGTCTTTCTAAGGAGAGACATATCATGGGAGGGTTTCGTGTGGAGAGTGGCATGATGGGGGGAGGCCCTCCCCAGGGCAGGAGTCATAATCCTAACAGCCATGTTTATTGTTCAATCGGTCTGAGCTGTGGCATCACCCCGATGCCTCACAGTGGTCCTGCACTGCTATTGGTCCCGCTTCATAACTGGGGAAACTGAGGGGGGGGTCATTTCCCCAAGGTCACGTAACCAGTAAAGGGGAAAGCAGGTATTGGATTCCAGGTCTCTCCGATACCAGGACTGGTGGGCCATTCTGTTGCACCAGAGTTGACTTGTGATGAAAGTCTAGTCTGTTAATAACAGTAACAGTGACACAGAGTAACACGTAATGTGAAGTGCTTTCTTCAGGCCAAGTGCTCTTCTAAACCCTTTACGTGTGTTGACTCAACAAGTCTTCCTGTTAACTCAAGAGGATGGTTACCGTTATTAACTCTGTTTTACAGAGGAAGAGACTGAGGGCTAGAGAGATCAACTAATCTCCTGAGGTCACAACAGTAACAGGCTGTAGTGGAGCAAGGAATTGAAGGAGGGCAGTGGGGCTCCACAGTGCGTTACTCACGACGGCATGCTGTCCTTCAATATTCGCTCTCCAAAATAAGGAAGGCCCCACTCCGCCTTATACTAGAAATATACTTCACCCCGCTTCCGTGCCACCTGGCCCTAGAGCTAGCCACCAGCATTTACTGAACACTAATAAGCACAGTTACTAGGTGCCTTATGTGGCTTGTCTCAATCAAACTTCGTAACAGGTTCATAAGATAAGCACTGCTATTAGTCTCATTTAATAGACAGGATGACTAAGGCCAAACCATGTCCCTCCTCTGCTCAAACCGTGCAGTGACACCCATCTCACTTAAAGTCAAAGTCTTTATGATGACCTGCATAGCCTCCACGGCCACCGGGCTGCTCCTCCAATGTGCCAACATTCCTGCCCCAGGGCCCTTGCATGGGCTGTTGCTTCTGCCTGGAATGCTCTGATTGTTATCTATACACTTCTCTCTCCCCCTCACCTCCTTCATGTCTCTGCTCAAATGCTCTCTCCTTGGTGAGGCTCTCTATGACCACTGTAACCTGTCATCCAGACCAACGTTCCTGCTCTTCCCAGCCTGCTTCATTTCTGTGCTTCCCTGTCAGCATCACCTAATAAACCACATATTCTGCTTGTCTTGTTGCCGGCCTCCCCCTCAAGAAGGTAGGTTCCATACAGGCAAGGGTTTTTATCTGTTTTGTTCACTGTTCTATCCCAGAACCTAGAACAGTGCCTGTCTCTGAAAATATATGTGAAATAAGTGAATGAATGGGGCTAGGAAAAGAGGGAGTGGTCTGTTCAGAGATGTGAACACTGGAAGAATGCAGGACTCACCCTCTTAACCACTTCACTCTTGGGGGGAGCTAGTAAGAGCAGCCCCCGCTTGGCCACAGTTGTCCAGGAGGGACAAGGTTCGCACACAGCTGTAAGTTTTTGGTGTGTGGTGTTTTGGAGCAACAAGATGACAATGGGAATCTTTTGAAGGAGGCCTTCTTGCCTTCTCCCTTGTAACCATACCCTGATCCTGCTGTATTTTCTTCACACAGGGTATTTTGTTTTTTAATTGTCCCATGAACTAGCATAGGCACTCCACGAGGGCAGGGGGTTTTGTCTATTCTGTTCTCTACCGCATCCCTAGCGTGCAACAGGTCCTCATCAAACACTTGTTGAACAAATGAATGAATGAACAAATGAAGAACATTTTGGGCTTGGTAGAGCTGACAAAGGCCAGATATTTGATCATAACACCCTCACCCCCGAGGCCCTGTGAGATCAAATTCTCTGTCCCCTTTTTCTTCTCTTCAATTTCTCTGCCCCAACCTCACTGGCCTCCCCTGGTGCTCTTCCACTCACCATGATCATGGCCACCTCAGGGCCTTTGCACTTGCTATTCTCTCTGCCTGAAACAGTCCACCCATATCTTTACATGGCTAAGTTACCTCTGCTAATTCAGGATTCATCTCTGAAGCAGCCCATCAGGCTCTGGGAGAACCCAGAAAGCAGCATTTTTCCTAGTCACTTGTTTTTGAACTCTCTCCTCAACTAGACTGTAAAACCCACAAAATGAAAGACTGGGTGTATCTCTCTCCTTCACCTGTGTATGCCCTGTACTTAGAACACTAAATGAATGAATGAATGAATGAATGCATGCATGCATGCCTAGGGAAGAGAAGAGGTCAGGCCATAGTGAGGCTGGGGGTCTCCTCTGGGGTGTCCAGGAAGATGAAATGGAGCTGGGTGAGAGGTGGCAGGCGGAGAGGGCTTAGGGCCAGGGAAAGAGGTGCAGCCTGAGGGACAGCCTCACGGTGGGGCACTGTTCTGCGGAAGGACTGAAGACAGGGGCTGCTCCCGGTGGGGGAGGGGAGGGAGGCGGGGCACAAGTATTTCATTGGAGCCTGGAGCTAAACAGGCAGCGATTTCTACCTGAAGGGGGAGAGGATGTGGGTGTGAGAGCAGAACTCTAGAGGGAGCTGTTCTACAGGGGGGTCGAGGGGCGGTGGAAAGGGGTATTCCCGAGAACCACGGCGGGTGGGGAGGGTGCAGAAGGACAAAAAGGCATTCTGGGCTGCGGACCAGCACAGAAGTATTTTTACACCAGGAGGAGGCGGGCGGGGCGTGTAGGACGTCTGGGGGCTGCTGTGTGTGCACAGAGATAAGAGGGGCAGTCCTGCAGCACAGCACTAAGGCGACACTCTGGAGGCAGCCTATAGGCAGTACTAATGGAGGGCTCACGGGCAGCTGCCCTCCATGAGGGAGGGCAATGCTGGTGGCATCTCGGGGGCTGTCCTGGAGGAAGCAATGACGGGGGATTATGCACAAGCGATCCTCCGAGAAAGCATTAGTGGGGGGCCCTGGCAGCAGTTTAACGGATCGCCACTAACGAGGGCGCTTTGGCAGCCGTCCTGCACGGGGGCGTTAATGGGGCAGATGTCCGGAGAGGTCTCATGAGCGAGCAGTGACTGGGGACCCCCGGCGAGGGCCCGGCGGGAGAGACACTGACGGGGACGTTGTGGGGACCAGAGCGGGCCAGGGCGGGACCCCCCGCCCCCGTTGCCCCCGGGCCCCCGGGCCACGCGCCCCGTCACTCACCGGCGCAGGGGTCTCCGCCGGGAGGAGGCCGAGGAGGCGGAGGAGGCGCCGCCGCTCCGGGGAGACCCGAGGGCCCGACCGGAAGTGCCGCCCCCTCCCCCTCCCCGGCAGCCCCGCGCCGCCCGCCTGCCCGCCCGCCCGGAAACGGAAGTCGCGCCCGTCTCCGAGGCGCCGGCGTGGAGGAGCGGAAAGAGGGGGCGGTGGCGGCGACCGGGAAGAGGAACTGCGCCTGCGCACTGGCTCGGAGGCGCGGACGGGGAAGCCTAGGCCGCTTCCGGTAGCCGAGCCGAGCAACGTGCGCCTGCGCCCTGAGCGCCCGCCTCCTAGGGCACCGCCCACACTCTCCGGACATCCGGTTAAAACACGCCCCTCGCGTAAATCTTGCATTTAAGCCCCGGCCCCGCTCGGAATCACGCCCATTTTCTGGCTTAATTGCTTAAGCCCCGCCCATTGTCTCAAAAAAAATCCATCCTCCTCGCCCCAGCACCCACGATGTTTCTCCTGTTCTTCCCGACCTCCGAGTCCCCAAGAACTCCACCTCTCCCTCCTCAGCCCCGCCCACAGCCGCAGCTCTTTCTTCTCCACCGGGACTCTCAGAGGTCTTTAGGCTGCACCAAGCCCCCTGGTCTCGGGGGTTTCCTTTCCTTACTCCCTTCTTAGGTACCCCCTTCGCTCCCTTTGGCCTGAATAACAGTCATGCCCACCTCTTAGCTCCCGCCTATCCTAACACCTTGCTCTCCTGCAGTTCACCCTTTAAACCTCTCCTCTCAGATGAACCCTACTCATTCCTTCTAAACCGCTCCCACCTTCTGCCTGCCAACCCAACCAATTCAAGCCCCACCCTTGTTCTCAGCCCCTTCCCCTAAGCCCCGCCTATAATCCTCACATACAGCCTCACCCCTCAGTCCCGACCCCGCCCCCTGCTGCCTTGGCCACGCCCCCTCCTGGCCACACCTCTTACCTACCTAAGCCTTACCAAAGTTCTGGGTTCTGCTCACCACCCTCAACTCAGTATTTCCTCACAGTGTCAGGACAAAGAGATGGGGCAAAGTAGTGGGTGCAGAATTTCCAAGAATCTGGCTGGAACGGGGGATGGGGACCTAAAGTCACGTTTGCACAGAGGGTCAATGTTTTACTCAGAGCGGATATTTACAGGGAGTCCTTTGAGGTCTGCTCGGGATGAGAGAAGGGGCAAAGCCTTCCTCCAAGCCAGCCTTCAGCGCCAAGCGTTATAACAAGGCACATGACATGGGGTTCTCCCAAATTCCATGCACGCCCATCAGGGTGGCATAGGGACGGGAGAACATTTGAAGGAAGGGCCGGCCCTGGTACCGTCACTGAATACACACAGAAGCCAGGAGGCAGAGATTTATTTCCAAGGCCCCTGCCCCCAGGGGCCTGTCAGTCCGGGGGAGGGTGGCAGAAGGCAGCAGGACCCAGGAATTTAGGCCCTCACCCTCGACCCCCTCCCACAACGGGAAGACCACCAGGTATAAGGGTGTCCCCGCTTTCCTGCCCAGGCTCAGCACCAGCTGAATTCCCAGCTCTACGCCTGACCCGGGGAGCACTGGCCCAGGGCGTGGGTCAAGCCCGCTCTTTCCCCTCCGGCTCCTCCACCTCCTCCTGGGCCCCCGCCGTAGCCGGAATGCCCTCGTCGTCCCACGGTGGTTCAGGCCCTGGGTCCGGGGAACACAGGGGTACCCCCATGGCCTCGGGGTGCTTGCGTTTGGCATGGCGCCGGAGCGTGTTGGCCTCCGTGAAGCGCAGCCGGCAGACAGGGCACTGGTAAGGGCGCTCCCCGGAGTGGACACGGTGGTGGTGGGCCAGCTCGCCCGCCTCGCGGAAGCGGCGAGGGCACAGTGGGCAGCGGAAGGGCCGAAGGCCGGCATGGATGTTGCAGTGCCGCCGCAGGTGGCTGGACCGCTTGAACGTCTTGCCGCAATCCTTGCACTCATGCGGCTTCAGCTCTGAGTGCGAGATGCTGTGGCGTTCCAGGTCGGAGAGGTAGGGGAAGGCCCGCAGGCACACCGGGCAGAAGTGCGGGGCCTTCTTAGGGCCAGAGCCCTCAGGCAAACCTGCCGCTGACCCCTCAGAGACCGTATATGGCACACCCTGATCATCGATCAGCAGGAGGTCGCTGCCACCGCCGCTGCCCACAGGGGCTGTCACCCCTTGTGCCAGCGGGGGCTCCTGCCCTGACTTGGGGGGGCGGCCCCGCTTGCGAGGGAGGGTGGCCTTGAGCGTCCGATTCGAGGAGGTGGCCCCCCCGGGACGCCGGCCTCGGCGGCCCCGGGGTACAGGAGGAGATAAGGCCAGAGGTTTCTCTTCCTCCCCCGGCAAAGGCGAAGGCAACGGGTCTGGGCTGGGGGTGTCCATTGAGCAGTGGGGGGCTTGGGTCTGGGCACTGGAGCCGGGCTAAGAGGAGAGAGGGGGCAGCCGTCAGTGCAGGGAGGGTCTGGAGCATCCCTTGTCCCCCAACGCCTCGCCCATCCCTTGGTCTGAGTCTCTTCACCTGGGCATGGCGGACATTCACCTGGACAGTTATAGCCACACTGGTGGGTAAGATAGCAAGGCAACTCCGTACCAATTGGTAAACAGACACTGCCCTGAGCCACACAGGTGTCCCCTAAAGCCTCCCTAGCCCCTCTCCTAGAAGTTCAGGGTCAACTTGAACCAAAATGAAGAAAAATCTTCATGGGAGGATAGGATAGAGTCCAACTAAGGGTCTGGGCCAGTATTTTGATCCTCAAAATAAAGAGCCCATCAAACCTGAGCCATGGAGGCCCAGAAATGTTTTGTGCCGCTTCTGATTGGCAGAGTGGGAGGAGTGGGAGTTCAGGACTAGAAGAAGAAAGGGACCGGTCCCAGGTGATGTTTGGCTCCGAGTCATGGATGAAGAAATGTGCCAGAACTGTGAAGAGTCTGGGCTCCCAAGTCAGAGTTCTGGGTTCAGTTCCGGGGCCTGTCGCTCACTCTCTGTGTGGTCTGGAGCAAAGTGCTCACTTCTCTGAGCCTCAGTTAAGCCTTTTGCAAAATAGGATGAATAGTCCCACCTATTCACTCAGACATGTCATGAGGATAACACACATAAAGTGCTCAGTGCACAGAAATGCCTAGGAGATAGCAGCCCATGTTATCCTGGTGAGTGGCTAAGCTTCACACCAACCCTCTGAATAATGGTACATCACCCCCACTTTGCAACTGGGGAAACGGAGGCACGGGAAAGCCAAGTCAGTTGCCCAAGCCCTCTCTGCCAGTAAGTTGCCGGACCAAGACTCGAACCAGATCTCAAGGACACCAAGGGTCCAGGGAGTGAGAAGGCATGGACCCAAGGAGACAAGGGGACATCATGGAGCCCCTTACACCTGGGTTAGACTCCAGCTCTGCCGCTATTTAACAAGTGACTTTGCTTCTCTGGGCCAGTTTCCACTTCTGTAAAATGGATATAGCACTGTTGTCGGTTGGTAACCGTAAGCACTCAATAAACTACCATCATCACCATCACCACCAGCAGAACCACCAGCTCCATCACCAGAGCCTGGGACCACGAGACTAAAGTGTCATGAAGGGGAGAGGGAGGAAAGGAGATGTTCAGTTAATAGCTGGGGCGGCAGGGGCCACTGAACCCCCCTGGAACAGGCATATAGGCTGAAGGCCAGAGAGGCGCCACCGCTTTTCCACGATCACAAGGTTCGCTCCGGTGGGAAGGCCTGGACTAGAACCCGGGTCTCTGGAACGGTGCCCTCCCCCTTGCCCCTCCGGCACCCCCGTGCAGGCGCGCGCCCGCCGG